ATATGAGGCAAATGATAAACGTATTAACCCTTTTTATTGAAAAATTCGATAAATATGGAAGGTTACATGCATCAAAAACTATTAGCTAGAAATTTTATTATGTTAACAAACTTACCACCAAAGTACCCTTTTGGGATTGCTACTTAATTATTCGCATCTATATTACGTATTAGTATTAGTATGTGAAATTGAAATCTATAATTAGAATTTTGGGGTGTTTGAATACGAAAATCTGATTAGTCAATTTTAATTTCGTGTGCAAATTTACATAAATTTCATTTCACACATGAATCCGCCGCTGTGGAGAGGTTTGACTGTATTATAAAAATTATTAAAATCAAAGTGTATCATGGCTTTTAGGCAATTACTGTTAGGTTCTTTATCAAGATAATAAATGTTTGATATCATTTTGCTTTTCATGATTATTAATATTAAGTAATAATAATTAATTTATAAGATGTCAAGGATAAAAGAAAAATAACACGATTGTTAAAGATGGAGGGAAAACTGCTCCTAGATGATTTGAGAAATATTTCAATGTATAACATTTAATTACAAAGTAGCATTCATAGACACGGCTAATCTGAATACGCTACCCTCGATGATACAATGATACAACTAAATTCCAGGGGAGGACCCAAGGCCCGGAATTTATTGAAACTGCATCATTTTCAAAGAATGTTGTTTACAGGTAGAAATTCAGAATTTCTACATGTTGTTTGACCAAGCCTTCCAGAATGTTTGGGTTACCTCACCTGTGGAAATAATTTCACAGCACCTTGTTCCATGTTTGTGGTAGGAAAATTTACTAAATCTGATACCTGTGATTAATATCAGATTTATGGAAATGAAACTATTGGGAAGGAAAAATAATTTCATATATGAATTGAGGATCAAAATATCAATAGACACAAATGTATTTTTATTTTTTTTTTGGAAAAACAATCAATTAATTTTGATGAAGAGTCAGTCCAAGATGACAAACGTGAGTCACACGGCTTACGGGTTTTGGATTCAGACAATGCAGGTCAAATAATCACCCGGTTCAACGATGCTTTGCACAAGGATCCGAAATGGTAGAAGGACATCCAGAACAAGACTAGTCCAAATCAAAGATGTCATATCTAAAAATAAACAACAATAACAATAGTGGCAATGTCTATCACTATACATAATAGTGACAAAATGATTAACCACCATGTTAGAATTATAATCCTAACAGATGAATATTTAATTTATACTCTTAAGGAAAAGTGGCGGTGCGTTTAACAAATTTCAATCATTTTTTTCCTCGTTTATTTATTTTGTAACAATTCATACAATGTAAAAAAAAAATCAATTGCAATTTAAGGAATTTTTTATAACAAACGCAATGATAAAAATATAATTGAATGGTGGGAATGATTTTCATCACCTTTTTCTTGTTACTATCACCCAATCTCATCAGTGAGATTTCCCATATTTACATCATGATCGACTAAAATATTCACATGAATAGAAATATTACTAATGAGTTTATGTAAAAAATCAGTTCATATGATTATTAATTATTATTATGTATATATATGAATAAATTAAAAAACCATGAATGTTATATATAGAGTAAACCTTGGCTTCAAGGTTTTTAATAATTCTAAAAAAAAATTTAATTAAAAAAAATGACTTTATCAAATAATACTCATCATCATCATACAAAAATAGAAGAAGAACTTCATGCAAACGCTCATATTGATTATGATCGTGTTGCAATCAAATGGAATCCTTCTGTTGCTCAATTATATGAAGATGCCTTGAAATATGAAGAGGGATCTGCCATTTCTTCAAGTGGCGCTTTGGTAACTGCCTCTGGTAATAAAACTGGTCGCTCTCCTAAAGATAAACGTATTGTCGATGAACCCGGTTCAACCAAGGATATTTGGGTAAGTTAATAATAATCATAGATTCCTCAATTATATCTCATCTAATCATTCGTTCATCATCATCACATTATAGTGGGGACCTGTAAATACTAAATTACCAGAAAGAGTTTTTCTTATTAATCGTGAGCGAGCAGTTGATTATTTAAATACACGCAAAAGAATCTATGTATTTGATGGTTTTGCTGGATGGGACCCTAAATATAGAATTAAAGTTCGTGTTGTATGTGCTCGTGCATATCATGCCTTATTCATGAGAAATATGTTGATTCGTCCTACTCTTGAGGAACAAGAAAATTATGGTTCACCAGATTTCACTATTTACAACGCTGGTGCTTTTCCTGCAAATCGTTATACTACTGGTATGACATCAACAACCTCTGTTGATATTAATTTTAAATTAAATGAAATGGTGATTTTAGGAACTGAATATGCTGGTGAAATGAAAAAGGGAGTGTAAGTAGCATTCATTATTGTTGTTTGAGAAAGAGTGTATGTGTAATATTATTATTTAAAGTTAGATTATTTACATGTTTACATTCTCTTTCATATTTATGTATTGCACAGTTTCACAGTTATGCATTATTTGATGCCGGTAAAACATAATGTATTGTCATTACATTCATCTGCTAATGAAGGTCCAGGTGGTGATGTATCAGTATTTTTTGGATTATCTGGTACAGGAAAAACAACACTTTCAGCTGATCCAAGCCGATTTCTGATTGGTGATGACGAACATTGTTGGTCCGACAACAATATCTTCAACGTAGAGGGTGGCTGTTACGCAAAATGTATAAATCTATCACCGGAAAAAGAACCCGAGATTTTCAACGCAATTCAGTTTGGTTCAGTATTGGAGAATGTTGTTTATGATGAAAATACTCGTGTGGTCAATTACGATGATAACTCATTAACCGAAAATACACGTTGTGCTTATCCAATTGAATACATTCCAAATGCCAAGATACCTTGCATGTCAACTAGTCATCCAAAGAACATCATTCTTCTGACTTGTGACGCTTATGGTGTGATCCCACCTGTATCAAAACTTTCATCAGCACAAGCGATGTATCATTTTATTTCCGGCTACACGGCGAAAATAGCAGGTACAGAAGACGGAGTCACAGAACCTGAAGCAACATTTTCTGCATGTTTTGGTCAACCATTCCTGGTCTTGCATCCAGCTCGTTATGCACACATGTTGGCAGATAAAATGGAACAACACAAAGCTGATGCTTGGCTAGTTAATACAGGATGGAGTGGTGGGGCATATGGAGTTGGGGAAAGAATTAAACTCAAGTATTCCAGAGCTATAATTGACGCGATCCATAGCGGTGAGCTTGCAAATACAACGTATGAAAATTACAAAGTATTCAATTTAAAGATTCCAACAACAGTTACAGGGGTACCATCCGAAATATTAAATCCAGAAAACACTTGGAAGGGACCAAAAGAAGAATTCGTAAAAACCAGAGATTCTCTTGCTAAACATTTCATTGAAAATTTTAAAATTTATCAAGAAGAGACTACACCAGAAGTTCTTGCTACTGGACCAATTCTTGAATGTTAATATTATCAGATGAAGAAAGAAAGAAAGAAGAAGAAAAGAGGAAAATAATATTAATATTTATTATTATAAAAATTTAAAAATTACTATTTAATTTATTATCATTAATGCTATATATGTAATTAGAAAAATGTTATTGTATGCAAAAATCTAACCAGAATTAATTATTTATTAAAATTTCAAATTTTTATTACAGTAATTGTCAAATTGTTCACAATTTCCCATTTCTCATTCATTTAAATTCATTCCATCAATATCAATAACAGTGTGATCTCATTTCATTCCGAGACATATGACAAGCTAGTGTAATGGAAATAATCATACTTTCATATTAAAATATTAATTTTCATTTTTTATCAAAAAAATTTTTAAATATGTTTAAACAAGGTACAGATAGAAAGAAAAAACAAACATCAATTCGAAACGAGCAAGTATTATCATAGCTGTTATTGCTTAGTTCAAGCTCTAGTTTATTTATAAACTTTGTCTTACTTAGTATTAACCAGAAATTCAACGAGTAATGATGTAAGTAGTCTACACGTTGTCTCTTTGATGAACTTTGTCAATTTTAATAAATTTCAAGTTCATCTAATAGCTCATCAGGTGTGATCTGTAATAAATATGTGCATATATAATAAACAAGTAAAATATACGTACCATTTGTATAACTCGGAAAATTTTGTTAAGATGTAAAATCAAATGTTATTTAAATGATATCGATATCTCTATGACAGGCAAAAAAAAACCATTATGCTATCTTTGCACCAGAAACATCATGATCACAATTCATTTTTGCAAGAGATTTCACAATATGATATTAATATCCATCTCACTGTCACATTCCAAGACTTGTAAAGATCCAGACAATGAATGTATTGATATCTGCAATAATGAACATCGCTCTCAAGTTTTTTAATATGTAACTCTGCAACGAATGAACCATTACCATCCAATCCATTGGATCCATTGGTGTAACAGTTTAACCATATTAGTATTTAATAGCATGGACCAGACCAAAACTCATTAGTCTCAATGGACAGTCTATTTCCAACCCTGAGTTGTCAGCATTCTGCAATAGTTTTAGACAGGCGATAGATATCTTTAAATCCATTTCCTTAATTTTATAGATATTGTTATTATTATCTTAAAGAAATCAATCAGTGAGTAACAAATAAACAATAAAAACAAGTTTATTATCTGGTTTTTTTTTATAAAGGCAAGAAAAAAAATATCAGTTTATAATCTTTTTCTTATTTTTATTTTTATTTTTATTTTTTTCAAAAAAAATGATTTCAATTTTAAATAAACCATGCACTTTAATAAGTTTTTTAATAATTTTATTTATTACATTCTTTAGTTTTACATTTGTTGATAAAGATATCGAATTTCCTGAGCCATCAAAATCTCGTACAACGGGTTATCCGACATGGCACCCTGAACTTAAAGGTAGTCTTCTTTTTTTTTTTTTTTTGAAAATTATTATTATAAATAATACTAATTATTAAATTATTAAATTTATTTAGATTATGATGGAAATTCACTTGATTCAATATTTTTATTTACAATTGTATTTACAGGAATTTGTTCATATCTTGGTTATAGATGGACAAAAAATCGCCCGGAAAATGAATATTTGATTACACTTATTTATCAATCATCAACAACATCATCAGATGAATTAACATCATTACCGCCAGTAACTAGTCAAGAATTTAATAAAATATTAGAAGTTTACACATACGTTACATTCATAGCAACAACTTTTGCTTCTATTCTTGATATTGGGAAATTATGTGGAGTCTTTGCTTTATTACATAATTCAATTGAATTTGTTATTTTGGTGTTGATTGGTTCTGGTGGAAAAATTAAATCTTTAGACTTTTATCTTTGGTTAATCATTTATACATTAACAATGGGTTATTGTATAATTATGTTTGAATATCCTGTTGATGTGGTATTTTTCAAATTACAAGGTTAAAAAGATTTTCTTTTTCGGAAAAAAAAACTTTTTAATAATAATTATTATTATTTTCAATTAACTGATAAATTATCATTGATTATTAGGACTTTGTTTTGATTGGGCTTTAATTATAGAATTTTTTCGAATTTATTTTCATACTGGTCATGAATTAAAATTAAGAAATAGAATTTTGGGAGATGATAATGAAGATTTAGAGGAACTAACTGAATCAGAATTAAACCAATATTCATATTTACCAAAAATATTTTCACATCCAAATCAATTATGGTTGTTGATATTTGCTGCCATCACTCATATTATTGGAAATATATTTATAACACTTGATGTTACAAGTTTAAACGCGTAAGTTCTTTATTTAAACAACAAAGAAAGAAAAATAGTAATAATGATAATGATAATAAACTAATAAATTTTATTTATATTTTTTTTTTTTTGTAGAACAATTTTATTTGTTTTTAGTTATTGTTTAACATATGGTGCCATAATATATTATATTTATCTTGACACTCATTGTCTAAGTATCTATTCAAGAAAACGTTTATACTTTCCAAAATCTAGCAAGCTTGAAATCGCAAACATCTCCATAATTTCATTTGCTCTTTCTTTATTAACAATCAGACTTGCTATTTTCACTCAAGCAAACGAAAATAATTAATTTAATTTTTTTTTTTTTTTTTGTATTAATAAATATAAAATAATCATATAATCATATAATCATATATAATAATACCATATAATCATAATCATAATATAATCATATATAATAATATCAATTAATAATTATAAGATGATGGCCTTCTCTATATTTATATAATATGAATTATGTGAGGCGGTGTAATGCTCTACATAATAAAAAATACTTTGTGGATTTCTTTAAAAGATTTTTTCATTTATTTAATATATATATGCTTTGTGTTAAAAATTGATTTAAAGAAAATCGCTATATTTTTATTTTTATTTTGAATACCACCTGCTATCTTAACAATTCATCATTTGAAATTCATTATCATCAGATATTCAAAAATAACCTTATGTCTGCTCATCTTTCAATAAACTATTATATTTTTAAATATAATAATAGTAATAGGGTTAATAACACTAAAGCAAATATAATGATAATAAACTATAATTTATTCAATTACAATGCTTCAACAGGTAGTAAATCAATTTTAGTTGTATCACTCCATTCTCTTGCATTTGGCCCATAGCAATTTATTTCACCTATGTATATTAATATGTTTTATATGCCATTTGTAAAAACTAATTTTTAAGACTTTTTTACGTGACAAAATAACCTAATACCTGTTTCGTTGGAATTCTAAATCTCTAGGAATGTTTTGGTATGTTTTTTTTAAAGATGTCAGACAGATATTGGTAAATTTTAATTTGCGGCATCATTGCTTTTTTCAAATAGTCGATTACTTCTTAAACTATTATTATGTAATTGGATTTATTATTACTGTTGGATTTATCATTGTCGATATATTATTGTCGGTGAATATATTTTTGCTGTTAGATGTATTATTGCTGTTAGAATTTTTTCTCTAAATAAATTCGACATTTAACTTTTACGCGAAAATTTTATTGATCAAGTCCTAAAATGATCGTACACAAATCTAAAACCCTTTATTTTCAAAAGCAATATTTGCAAGATGATGCTTGTATGAGAGTTAAAAGAAACAAAGAAAAATTAATTGAAGTGGTCAATTATATAAGAATAAATAACGATTCAATATCATGTTTGAATGATAGTTTAACTGATTCAGATTTGGAAGATAATGCAATTATCGACCTTTCCCAAATCTGGTATATAAAGGTTTCATTAATATTGTAGATAAAATCTAATATAAATGATACGGTAGGAAATGCTATAACCAAGTTTTTTTAAAGAGCATTCTTTTCGTGAAGATAATCTGCTGCCAAGCTCTACAAAAATTAGTCATGAATGGAGGTGAATATCATATCATTCATTTCATGAAAAATTTTTTAATTCTTTCATATAATAATAAAAAATTACTGCTTGAATTATAGATCAACTATGTCTCTCTGTTGTTGAAAAAAAAAAACAGGAGTTAACTCAAAATTTTCTTTATTATTATGAGGAATATTACGTAATTTTATTTTCACTTATTTACTGTATTAATTATCCATTTATTTATATCAAATAATAATTTAACTATTTTAATTAGATTGATAATAAAGGATTTTGTTATGCTGAATTGAACAATTGCACTTGGCGAAAATCAGTTGAAATGACAATACCAAACACTTCAATTGTAATAGCAATAATATTTTACTCGAACACAAAACAAAGACTAATTGGCATCCATCATTTGTTAACTTTGGGAAATATACAATAAAAAAACTTTTTGCCTGTATTAAAAGCTCAAGATGAATCAGAAAAAAAATCAAAATTATTTCATTTAAAAATATGGTACTTTTCCATCAGTGCTTGGATATAATTTTTGGACCACTAATTCAAAAATACCAATCTGGAATTTATCTTGAAATTAATAGTAAACTTGAACATGTTTTTCTTTTTCCTGCGCTCATTCTCTCAAATTGGTTGGAAGCAGCAGAGTGTTGTTGTACATCTAAATCTTCAAATGCTCGATATCCATGTCATGCATGCTTAATTGAAAAAGATCAACTCAACAATATAATTTTACAAATAATCAATTTAAATTTGGTTCTCAAATTCATTGATTGTTTTATCTGAAGTTGACATCTTTGTAGAAAAAAATCAAATTTATCAATGCAATTCAAGATTGGATTGGAAAATCTTCATCAATCCATTCCAAGAAATAAAGATTGATGTAGATAATTTGTCTACTATTTCACTATTTAAGAAACATGATAATTCTTATTACGTCAAACTAAAGTTTTCATTAAAATGGCAGAAAGTCGAAATGATCTATTATTGTGTAAGATAATTAATTATAAAGGACACTCATTGTGTAATCTTTTTTTTTTGATTTTTACAGATCTTCTACTTTGCATTACAATTATGGTTGCTTGCCAAAACTCCTCTGGAAATCAATCGGCAGAGTTTCAGCAGGTAACACACTAATTGATTGTTAGAGTTTCGGCAGAGTTTCGCATTTAGGGATTTCGACAATTAGTGGAGTTTAGGCAGGTTACAACTAATTGTTTATTAGAGTTTCAGCAGTCATTAAGAGGTTTCGGAAAGCAACTTAATTACAATAAATACAGAAAAACATGATGTTGCATTAATTCAATAATACAAAAAAGTTTTATAAACATGGTTGTCCTTTCTTAAAAAAGTCAATCATTTTTGATTTCATTGATTAACAAGTAAAATTTGTTATGCTAAATCGGAATCACCCTATTAGCTGACTGTGACGAAAAGAAAACCCCATTGCTGCTGCTGCGCCAGCGAGATTTTCCTGCCACAATCATGTGCAGCAGTGGGTCAATTTAAGTCCCCTCACTCCTACCCCACCTAAAAATTTCAGGCCTTTCTCCCCCATTCTCATTCATGTACAGAAATATGTTCCTTATGTTTCGGGCAGCATTAGCATCACGATTCCAGAGGGTCTGGCACATGTGTCTACATGTCCGGAGCATCCAAAGCTGTTGAGGTTTACTAAATATCCCTTCACACTTGGAACATATTCTGCTAGTTCTAAATTCATTAATAATTTTTACTCTACATCTTTTCCTTAACTCCCACATCAGCTGCTTTATTGGACCAGCAGCATGTCCTTTAGAACTTGATGAAAATGGAGCATGACTGTGATTATAAAATGAAAAGATTTTTTTTTAATTTCTCTAAATAACATAAAAAATTAGTATCATGAAAATAGGTAATATTTACCCAAATGCCACAACAGTTCTCTCATTATTGGCAATCCTCCTACAGATTTTATCCATTGCCTTTTGTTTACCAATATAGTTTGACCATCTTAACCTTCTCCAACGTTTTTCTTTATAAAAGTCAAATAAATCATCCATATAAAAAGTGCTTCAGAGAGATACTGCACTTGGAAACCATGAACTGAAGGAACAGAAGGTGTTGGTAAACCTGAAATATATAATATTGAATTAATAATAATAATTAATTAATCTTTTAAAAAAAATCAAAATGTTTACCTCTGACAATGGCTTGTATGTATTTATTTTTATTCATCCAAACTTCTCTTTTTTTCTTGCCTTTGTAAACCCAGCCATCTCATAATATTCTTTTGTGCTGCATTTAATTACTTTTTCATTTTGATCTACAGCAACCAATAAATCCCTTCTTCCAGGGTCAACACCAACTACTCTACATCCCTCCAAATCTAATTTTTCATACTCATCATCATCATCATCATTCCTTTCACCAATTTTTTTTTGGCTTTTGTAGGTGGACAGAAGCACATATACCATCAGTTTGTAGATAGTATGTAAATGTTCTATTTCTAGTAGAAAATTTTTTTATATTAAAGCTTCTATTCCACCAATGATCAAAATTTTCTTTAAAAGCTTCTCTAGTTACTAGATCACTATGTTTAGTAGAAGCCCATAATTGGTATAATGCTTCAGTGTCAATGTTTATGTTTCTTTATTGGATTGAATATAGTGGAGGAATTGTGAAGAGCGAAGGTTTTTGTTATGAGGATTTTTTGAAATATGTTTTAATAAAGAGTGCAGGAGAGGGAGATATTTCCACCAATTCTTTTTCACTTCATTGTTTTCTAATGACAAAGTTCCTAAAAGATTTCTTGCCTTTTGCAATATATAAATAAATCTAATAGAGTCAATGTCAAAAAGCAAAGGTTCTCTGATGTTAAAAAAAAATGATGGAAGTGAAAGTCTTGAACCACTGTAAAGGATTTTATAGAGGTGGTTCACTGATTTGTAAGATTTTTCTTTGAAAATGGTATCCAAGCCAATTTATGTTGAATCCATTTATTGATTCTGCTTTTAATATTTGTCATGACATGATTTTTGCAATTTGTTAGGTATTGCTTAGCTGCTGATGTGATAAGCTGAGCAAGATAACTATGAGTATTGAATTAATTTAATAAAAGAATTTTTTATTAGAAATTCATTCATGAAAATAACTAAATAGATGTATGTATGGATAACAAGGATATTGCAGGAACACTAATGGATAACTAACCTTGAATCTGTCCATTCCTTTTCTTCTTAACGACAAGGAATATACAAAAAGTCATGGCAGAAATTGATAGTTAAATCAGCAGTAACACATGATATATTTAATTGCCTTTTGTTTATGGTTGTGACAGCTTTAAAAACACACTGAAAAAATGTTTGGTTGAGAGTAGGAATGGTTTGGTTTGTATTTATAAGATAAAGGGTTATTAGATTTGCAAGTAGAGATCCCTCATAAGCTATTTTTGTCATTTTTTCAACTGAAGTTTGAATATGTGAATTTAAAACATTTTCATTAAGAAGTTTATGTAGGCCTATTTTTACTGTGTATGGTGTATATTCAATATCAGGTAATATGTATTGAAGCTTTAATAATTTTTTTTTGTTTTTTCAAAGATGGTGGGTTTTCAGTGTTAGGATTAGGTCTTTTTAGTGGATTTATTGATTTTTTGAATTTTTTTGATGGTAAATTTTCAATATAGAGATTGATCTTTTTACAGAAGATATTTTTAATATGAGATAGCAAAATTGGAGTTTTTTTTTATAATTTTATGAATAGTGTGAGTTCAGTTAATTAACAGATCAAAAAAAGTGGTATTATTTATATCTTGTTTTGAATATTGTTAATTATTCATAATTATTATTATTTAATTTGGATATTCTAATTCGTATTACAAAAACAAATAATCACTTCAATTGTCAATGGTATGATACAATAATAAGTAAAAATGTTTTAGCATTTTAAACAATAATCAATTCAATTAATTAATAATAAATGATGCTTTTCTTATAAATTAAACAAAAAAATCAACTATATGATTTTCATCACACCAACTAAATATTAAAACAAAAAAGATGCTTTGCCACCACCAAAAAGTATTCTTAATTAGTAGAACATATGATAAAATAACAAAGAACAATAATTAATTCAATTGTTAAATTAAAAGCTCTTCTTAAAATGTAAAATAACAAAATCTATTCTTACTAAACAGTTCTCTTCGGTCAGAAAAAGATATTATTTATTATTGCATGATAAATGCTTATCATGTGGAAAAAAGGTGATCATGCAGTATATATGATTTTCCCAATTTTCCAAATTAAAAAATAACAAGCTTATAACTGAGAATGCAATGTGAGCTTTTTGTGTCACAAAACATGCATACTGTGCTACGCGAGAATAAAAATTCAATTAAGTTGGGTTTTGCACTTCTGCAAAAAAATAACATCACTTGGGCCAAGACAATAGTCTATTTTATTAAATTTGAAACATATAAATAGGACAGCTGTCCAATTTTTTTTTTTTTGTTATTTTTTCATAGTGAAATTCCTCTAGGCCATTTCAGCACACGGAACTCAACCTTCTACATTCAGCCACATGAAATAATTGTTTGTTATTATTATACAATGTGTAATACAAAAATTTAACCCACGCAATTGTTGATTGATTGACCAATTAAAATCATGAATTTAAAAATAAAACATTTAATGTGGGTTTGACTCATTTTGTCAACAATCACTTCACAAACAATTGTTTCATTAACATTAACAAATGGTTCGAATTTAAGAAATTGGAAGCAACCATTTGAAATAGTCTAATAAATTAAACTGTACTACTCAAAAATGTATTTAAAGGGTTGGTTTTTGACTTGGTTGAAGAATAACTCTCTTTCTAACTCTTCTCTTGACCATATCTCTTGATATAATCAAAATAACCTTAATATAATGAATGTCAAAATGATTGTAAATATGACCAATTTAAGATATATGATCAAGAGGAAACATGAACAATGAATGAAAAAATCAAACAAATTTATTTAATAAAACAAAATTTACAACTCAAAAAAATTTTTTTTTGCATGTAATAAAATTCCATTATTAACTATTAACAATCTAATTATATAGACCTTGACCGATCAATCCCACCTATATAGTTATTGAATAATTGATAATAATAAACATTAATTAAATATATTTTGCAAACAGCTTCATAGATCTCGACTTTAAGACTTACTTTGATCAAACCCGCCTATAATAATAAATGTTCATTTTGGAAATTTGATTTGCAAATAGATCTTGACTTTAACACTTACTTCTACAAAGCCTGCCTATATAATTATTTGAATAATTGATAAAGCAAAATCAAGTGGACTTACCCAAGGGTTGAAAATACCAACAATGATGATGATAAGAAATCCCCATGCAAAGCATTAAAATCCAAACATCTGGATTTTGAGGAACAATTCATAAGTTCCAACAACAAGAGAAGACCACAAATCACATCAGGGAGTCAGGTAAAAAAAGAAGTACAGACCATGACCCACAGGAAGAATCAACATCAAGGACAATGAAACTGACACATACAATGAATGAAGTTGTCAGCAACAATATAGGTTATACAGATGCAGTAGAAAATTCATACAACATTGAAAATGATGATGAAAATAATGAGAATGAAACAGTGGTAACAATGACGGTGATGAGAGTTGTAACACTGAATAATTTTTATTATTCTTTGTATTTTTTTTTCACAATAAAAATTACATAGATCAATTTTTTTTTTCTATTTGTATTTGTATGCAATAAAAATTATGTATATAGATCAATTTTTTTTTTTTCAGAAAAATAAAAAAAAAAATTTACCACTCAGCAAAAGCAAAAAATTCCTTCCCAAAAAATTAGGTTTAAAAAACAAAGATTTTTCAGTTTCAATTGCAATTGCAACGCATTGTTTTGCAATTCAATTCAACACAACTCAATTCCAATGCAATTGCAATTGCAATTGCAACCTGTTTTATAAAACAAAACATTTGTCGTACGACACAATTTTTGCTAAATATGGTGAAAGCGTTGATCGCGCCAAAAACCGAAAAGACCAGGCGCGGCTAGACGCAAAAGGAGACAATCGGCGAGAAAACTGCGCGGAAGTCGCACGACTTGCGAGTTTTGGAAGGAGATCGTGACACGGCAAATGTTAAATCTTTTTTTTGTGTAATGATAAAATTAAAATCAAAAATTTTTCTTTATTTGGAAATTTGTAAGACTTACATTTTACAATATTATTCTGAAATTTTTGGTAATACCAAATGTTCACTTTGTCTGGTTTTGTTGCAAGCATGCCCCAATATTAATAAAAAAAAAGGGCTAATATTTAAACCCGTTGTATATAACAAGAAATTCGTTGTGGCGAGGTCTGTTGTGACGAGGTTTGGCTGTATAGGATTTTCCTTTACATAAAAGTAAATTATTTATGTAGATCAACATAGAAACTGGCACCAAAAATTTTTATTTTTTTAAATAAATGTTAAACCATTTATTTTAATAATGTCTTCAAATGAAGTTGTCAGAAGAAAAAACGAAGCTCCAGTAAAAGAAGAGTAAACAATTATTTAATATATTTATATTTTATTTTATTTTATTATTTGAATTATAATAAAATGATTTATCATTGTAAAAGGTTCATTGATAAAAAAAGTGTTGCTAAAATTGCGAGTGAGGCTGTATTTGGAGATATCGACAATAATGATGATAAAAAAGATTTGGTAAGAACGATAATTCTAATCGAATTGTTAGTTGGTAAATGATGAATTTTTTTTTGCTCAACGGATTTGATTCTATATTTTAATTTACAGGAACCACCAAAAAAGAAATCACGTGTCACAAGAAAACCAGGTCAAAATAAAGGAAGTGCTGTTAAAAGATATTCAGAATCTTTAAGAGTATGTAACATTAATCTTATTTATTATAATATTATAATTGAATATTTATTTTGTGTTTAGTTTCTTAAAAGATTTAAATTATTATTTAATATTTTATAGTTGTGTCACAAAACTTCACTCGATGAAAATTGTGAAAATGAATTGTAAGTTTAATACATTTGTTGCGACATGTTTATATAAAGTTTTTTAAAGAAAAGTGATACTAAAATTTTCAAATAGATGTAAATTTAGTCATGATCTTCAGGAATATCTTCGGGTTAAAGAAAAAGATTTAGGAAATAAATGTGTAAATTTTGAGAAATTTGGAAAGTAAATATTTAATATGAACATGAAATTTCATTTGCTTATCAATTTTAATTTGATTCATTTGTTAATCAACTATTATTATCTTAAAGATGTCGTCATGGATATGCATGTAGATTTGCAAATTCACATATAGATCTAAATGGAAAACTGATTATTAATGAGGAGGTACCTTTATCTTATTATATAGTCAACTATTCCCAATAATAATATTAATGTTGAACTCGTATCTGAAATAAAGCTTTTAGAAAAAAATATAATTGAAGAAAAAAACGTTACCACTGCTCAACTTCATAAAACTCTTAGAAATCGTACGGTATAGTACTAATCAATAAAAAATTGATGTTACTTACAATATTAGAATAAATAAATAAATATTAATGTAAATAATTACAATATTAATAATGGTGATTTGATTTTAGTACAAATTCCCAAAATCTGAAGAATATCTTCGAGAGATTCAATTAGAGATTTCTCAAAGATTGGAGGTGGAAAAGGCAAATAGATTAGCAAAACAAAATGCACAGGATGCATGTATTATTGAATCAAGTGATAACGATAAAGGCGAACCAAAATTGGAAATTCTTGAAGAAAATAATGAAAGAGATGATAAACTAAAAGAGGAAAGAGAAGAAGCGCCTATTATCATTGAGAATAAAATTGAAAAACAAAATAATGATGATGGAGATAATGTTGAAGCATTCATTGACATGCCAGATGTTCCATTACGACAATGTGAAAAGAAAAAATTTTCTTTTAAGGATAAACTTTATTTAGCACCATTGACTACAGTGGGAAATCTTCCATTTCGTCGTATATGTAAAGAGTTTGGAGCAGACATTACATGTGGAGAGATGGCAATGGCAACAAATATTCTTCAGGGGCAACAGAGTGAATGGGCTTTGATGAAGAGACATGTTAGCGAAGATATATTTGGTGTCCAAATATGTGGAAACAAAGTAGAGTATTTAGTGAAATGTGCAGAGGTTTTAAGTAATGAAATAGAAGTAGATTTTGTTGACTTGAATTTGGGATGTCCAATTGATGTTGTTTTTAACAAGGTTTGCTTATACTTATGTTTGAATTTATGAATAACAATAAGATTAAATTGGGGGTTTTTTTAGGGAGGTGGAAGTGCATTATTGAGACATGATGGAAGATTGGGAAAAATGTTGAGAGGAATGAATCGAGTAAATAAGAATATTGAGATACAATATCTATTATTAGTGATGAATAATTTTATTAAAATCTTTTTATTTTTATTTTAGATAATTGATGTACCAATCACAGTTAAATTACGTACAGGAATTTCAGATAAATGTTACGTTGCTCACAAATTGATTCCTAAATTTGAAAATTGGGTAATATCCCTTAATATTAAAATTTATATTTATAAATGATGTTGTTGTTAATGAATATTACTGAAACAATTTTTTCTCTTGAAATTAATTATATTTAGGGTGTTTCTTTAGCTACTGTTAGTAATATAGTTAATTAATTTAATATTAATATTTTAAATGAGTTCAATTAACTTATTTTTAATTACAAAAAAAAAAAAAGCTACATGGACGTTCTCGTGAACAAAGATATGTAAAACTTGCTGATTGGGATTATATTTCAACAGTTGGATCAACAAGAAAAAAAATGGAATTTTTTGGTAAATTTAAATTATACATTTTTATTAATATGTAACTCAAAATTTAATTAAATTATATATATATAATATCTAGGTAATGGTGATATACTTGGATATGAAGATTATTATCAACATATTGAAAAAAATAATATAGATGGAGTTATGATAGCAAGAGGAGCTCTGGTAAAATTTATATAAAATATTATAAATATTAATAGCTTAAAAATTTTATATTTACATTATTATTATTTTTTTAAAAAGATTAAACCTTGGATATTTGATGAAATTAAATCAAAAAAACATTATGACATTTCATCAAAGGAAAGATTTGAAATTTTAAAAAAATTTTGTGATTATGGTATGGAACATTGGGGAGCTGATACAATTGTAGGGATTCAAATATATGTTTATATGTTTTTATATAATTATATGAGTGTATTGTAATTTTATTAATATACTTGTTTTAAAAAAATATATATCAGGGAATTAATCAAACAAGAAGATTTTTATGTGAATGGATGAGCTTTTTATATAGGTATATAAATATATATTGATAATATGTAAATGTAATTGGTTATTAATTAAATATGTGTGCATAGATATATTCCTGTAGGTTTGCTTGAAGTTTTGCCACAACGAATCAATGAGCGACCACCTTTATTTCACGGCAGAGATGAATTGGAAACATTATTAGCTAGTCCAAATAGCAATGATTGGGTTAAAATCAGGTACTCAACTAATCTATGAATCTCCAATGATTTATTTATTTGTGTAAAATTAGTTAATTATCCTTTAATTTTTTTTTTAGTGAAATGCTACTTGGGCCTACTCCTGACAATTTCACCTTTGTACCAAAACATAAAGCAAATTCTTATGAGGGTTAAGAAAAATAAATTATTGTTATTGCAATAATTAAAAGTCACATAATATAATATATATTATTTTTATTATTTAATAAAGAATTTATAATAATTTCACAGAAAATATCCTATTGCCAATTTTACAAACCATTTTTTCAATTATAAAATTGTATCCTTGAATTTTTCTTTCATATCCCAAATTTTTTAGGTGATTACATAGTGAATTATTTATTGAGTTTCCAAGAGCCCATAAAATACTTGAATGAAATTTTGGATCCTAAATATACGTGTGTGCGTTATATTATGATCGATTTGAAATATTTGAAATGTGATTTTATGATTGTTTACCTTGTAAAACTCTTCTTGTCTATAATCTTTTACCACACTATTAATATGTTCAAGTAATTCTTTCAACTAAAATAATAATCATTACAATGATAGTAACAATAACAACAATAATATTATTAATTAATTTTACAAATTTAACAGTTTATATTCACAATCTTATAAAAATATAAATACTTTATCAAATCCTTTATCCACTTCCAACGCAAGAAATGATCTTGTATTTTCATTATTTGTCAAATTTTGTAATTTTGAAAACGCAATCTCGAATCTTGGAAAGGGGAGATAAATTGTAAATAAGAAATTTATCAAATACTTAAAAAAATTATCCATCAACTAAAGATGTATTTACTTTTTTTTATTTTTAAAACCTTTTTTCAAATTATCCCAAAATCCATTTATTTGAAAATATTTTAAAAAAATAGGTTTTGTTAAACTAATATGTAACTTTATATCTTTAAATATTTGTCCAATTTCATCTTCGTCTTTGTCATCATCTTTCTCATCATCGTCAATTTTATTTTCATTATATCTTAATAGATTGCTTGTACTCAGTACATCTTTATCAAGTAATTTTAATAATTCACTCTCTTCTTCTTCAAGACATGAGAAAACCTTGATTTCTTTTTCATTATTATTTAGAAAACTTTCTGATTGAATTTTAATATTTTTTAAAAGATCCTCAAAGTCTTCTGGTATAATCACTATAATAAATAGCAATAAAAGAATTAATAACATAATCTTTAAATTATCATCATTGTTATATAACCAATTTGTTATTAACCTTCCATGTAAACGTGTGTAGCCCAATTTCCCTCAACATGTAGTTTTGTTCTTACACGACCTTGATGTTCGTCTGGATTATCAATGTGTACTTTATTATCTAGAAAAAGAGATCCGATTAAGAGAATTATTATAATTTATATATTTAAAATTTATTAATTTATTACCTGAATATAATTGTAAAAATTCAGTAGGAAGGGGTGGTAATGATGAAATTTTCTTTTTTCTATGGAAATATGTATGTTGATTATAGATATATAATTTAAGAAATGCTTTTAAAAATTTAAAATTACTTTATTGTTTGATTAAGATTTTCATCAGAAAATTTCCTTTTTACAAGCGCATTTGATAAAGGATTTCCATTATCATTATCATCATTGTTGTTGTTGCTATCTTCCAGAATTTCTTCAGATGATGAATCATATTCTAAAATATTATCCATTATTTTTGATTTCTTAAATTGTAGATCTTGCTTTTAAATTCTTTTCGTGCGTGACGCAGTAATTTCTGTAGCATTATTTATTTTATTACCTTTCACTCATTGTAAGTATTGCGTACTTGTGGCTTTTCAGACACCAAATATTATTTAGAAAATCTTGGGAACTACGGAGGTTTTGTAACACGTACATTCTCAACTATGTTCTTATTAGATAGTGAACAGTTAGTATTCAGAGATGGTTACAATTAAGAAAATTCTCAGTGGACCTATGGATATTGTTTAAACATTCAATATAGACTTCCTCTTTTATAAATATAATAAATTTATAATTGCTAATGATCCTATTTCATTGTTGGCAGAATGAATATTGTGCGAATATAATTTTTTTCTACTTTCAAACTTTACAACAATAGATTAAAGGCAATGACGAGGAAAATAAAGTTACGACGAATTTTAAAACTGACTATGTGAAATTCAAAAGGCAAACAGGCGTGGTTATTTGACTGTGGAGCGATTTTTACTTAGCATGCGAGGTATATTTATTTATGTAGCGTAAAAAAAGTAAAATCAAAAAATCAATCATGTCATAAAGATGTGTCTTTTTGTGTTTTTTAAAGATGAACCTAAAAACACAAAAATGCGTTTCTTTAAAAGCCCAGCGAATTCCAATTGGTTGTCTGCTGAAATATATCTGACAGCAGAATAACTTTTACTTGGTGGTGTGCGAGGCTTGTTTTTTTAAATAAAATAATTTACTCTTTTATTTAATAAGGAAAAGCATCCTATATTATTCTGTTTAAAATATTTCTTTTTTCGCAGAGAACATGGCTAGTTTGTCATCAAACGTACACCATTCACCACCCATTAAATCCAAACAGACAAAAGCGCAGAAAGTGATAAAAGAGCCAGTAAAAATTCGTTCAGCCGGTAAAGAATGTGGTGCTGTTTTTGCTGATAATGGCTCTACTGGAAACCAAATAAATATTAATGTGTTAATATCTTAAACTGAACGACAGTAATAGAAACTATCTTGACATTTTTGAGTTTTGTATGTCAAGATCACGCATCCCATCGTGACAAGTTTCTACTACAGCTAATGTTCTTGTTTCGTTGTCGATTATTATTTAATGGTTTTTTAACATAATATAATGCAAGTCACTTAATCACTGACTCTATAATTGGGAGTGACACGGAATAAAACAAAAAATCAATTTCAATAATAATTAATCTTAAAACCAAGGAAAATAGTGATAACGATGATGATGATGCGCTTTTGCTACCACAAGTAGACCAAAAAAAAAATAAAGGCAACAATAAAACATCCAATAATACAAAAAGAATGAATGAATATGAATCCTATCAAATTCTTATTTTTATTTTTATTTGTTTAATTTATTAATAACACTACACAGGTCTTGTCTTAATTATATCTTCTACTTGGCTTTTTTTTTTCCAGCACACAAAATTTGTGCGCTGGCTGTCTCATATATAAAAAGCTCGTGAATAATAAGTGTAACAAAGAAAAATTAACATGAATGTTGTCTGTGAAACGTGAACTCGATACCAATCCCCTCCCTTCCTTTCTAGAACTTGTCATTCAATAATGTCTCAGCTAACTTCTGTAATTAAAAGGGCAGGACCTTCTTTGCACTCTGCTACTGTTATATTTTTACATGTAAAAATTGTTTATCCTTAATATATTAAGTATGTAAATAATAAATGTTCAAGAATTAAAAAAAATTATATATATTGCTTTATGGTATAGGGTTTAGGTGATAGCGGACATGGATGGGAACCAATTGCTACAGAAATAGGTGAAATAATGAAACATGTAAAATTTGTGCTACCAAATGCGTAAGCTTATAATAATGATATTAATATATAAAGAATAATTGCAAAGATTTAATTTATTTGAGATTTGCCTTGTTGATATAGACCAATACGTCCAATAACTATTAATATGGGTATGAGAATGCCTGGATGGTAATAATTATGACATGTTTCTTATCCAGATAGAATTGAATATAACAAACAATTAATCATTATAAATTATATCATAGGTTTGATCTTACAACTCTAAATCTAGATCAAATAGATGGTGGTGTGGATGAAGATGGTGTTATGGAAACTCTCTCTCAAAGTATAATATTAATATTTATGTTAATATTATCAATGTTATTGATATTGGAAAAAATATTTATTGTTTATTTATTTATTTTTCAGTAAAGAAATTGATAAAAGATGAAATTGACTCTGGAATTGTTTCTAATCGAATTGTTGTTGGAGGGTTTTCTCAAGGAGCTGCAATAGCTCTTGCTACAGGGGTAACATCAGAATATCCTTTGGCTGGCATAGTTGGGTAAAAGTATTCTCTTATACTCTATCTTCTTTTTTCGTCTTTTGATCAAAAATTTTTAAAATTGTAAAGTTTTATAAAAATAATAGATTAAGTGGGTTTTTAAGTATGGAAGAAAAGATTATTCAGGTTAATTGTTATTATTATTATTACTACTACTATTGTTATTATTACTACTATTACTATTATTACTATTATTATATTATTGATTCTTTAAAATTTTTATATTTAATATATGTTTAAATAAATGAATATTTAGATGTCCACTCAAGCAAATAAGAACACACCAATATTTATGGCTCATGGTGATAGAGATATGGTATATGATTATTGTTAAATGATAAATCAATGCAATATAATCATTAATATATATTTTTATATATTTTTTATTTTATAGGTTGTAAATTATAAATTTGGTAAACGGACTTCAGAATTTCTTAAAAATAATGGTTACAACGTAACATTTAAAACTTATAATGGAATGGGCCATTCTTCTTCAAATCAAGAAGTTTATGATCTAACTTCCTTTCTGAAACAAGTTATTCCTTAAATTTGTTCAAATAAAAAAACCAAGGCATACTGCAAAATGAACATTTGTACTACAAAGAATTTCATATACACTAATACACATCTAAACTCAATTAAGTCGGACATTTATTTATATTATAAAGTACTTTAAACAATTGATTGCTGTGTCCGACTTATTGAGTTTAGATGTGTACTAATATGATATAACAATTTTATCTCCTATATGGTTTTCCCACCAAATTGAGAGCATTATTTCCTAATATGAAAATGATCTTTGTGGTTCAAATGGCTATAAAAAAGTTCAGACAACTTTAAAATTTGGTCTTCGTTTTGCCGATCATGGAATTGACCAATAAGAATTCAAATTTTATGAAGATCCTTGCTAAGATGGAAACCTTTCCTAAACAAAATTTTTTATCAGTCATCCTAAAACCGTTAATTTGATGGATAATATTTATCTGTAAAAAAACAAAGACAGAGATTATTGATTATAAAGAATAACCAAAAATTCATTCATAAACTAACTGTATCATTATAAACTTTTTATAAAATACCTTCCTTAATTCTATTTTTTATAAATATCCTTAATTTGACAAGAATTAACTGAACAATCAAAATGAAATTCAATATTTCCCTTCTATCATTGCTGTTGTTTCTTTAGCAAGGTCATTTGGCCATAGTTTGAAGAAACATAAGTGTTTCATTATGGTGTGCCATAATGCCATAATGGACTTATTAACTGGGTCATCTCTGAATTTATTTTTTAATTGAATACAAGCAATATATATCTTGGATATGAACTTAATCAATAACTGGACCTTTTCCAATATAGAGCCCTATTACAATTAATATCATTTCATTTTATTTAAATAACAAATAGCTGGTACAGCCAATGTCATTATTTTTGAACTGTTAATGTTAAATAATAAATAGTTGGTAAATATTTTTATCATCATTATATTACAGTCAATAGTATTGTTTCTGAAAAAAATATTAACTGTTGATTTCATTTTATTTCAAATAGTAAATAAGCTGTAAATATCTTATATTTGCTCTTTGATTCTCTGATAATTTCATTTGTTATTTTAACTTTTATATTCCTTTATTACAATAATTTTTCTAAGGAATGAAAGAATTACTTATGAAAAGAAAAACCATAGCCAGTAAAAGGACTTTGCCACTAAACTATAAAGGATTTAGAAAATTACAAGAGAAATAATTTACTACCTAACTTAACATAAATGAGCATGTTTTCATTATCTTTTAAAGGTTAACGAGATTATAGATAGATTTGATAAAAAAAAGAATTAGTGTGGTTTGTTTGGCTTCCTTGGGTTTTACTTCAATTATTTCTTCTTAAGTGATTTTTCTTGCTTATCTTTTTTGTAATTTATTCTTTTTTCTTGGCAATGCTGGTAAATTGCTTGTAATTCTTGTTTTAGTTGCTGAATTTATTGTGCATGTTGACTTATCTCCTGATTCTTAACTATTTCTAATTGCTCTAATTTCTCAGCTAAATGTCTTTCTCTTCATTCTTGGGCTACTTCTAAGGCTTCAAGGTGAGTTTCAACATCTAATCTAGCCTCTTTAGTTTTTTGCTTTCAGTCTTTAATAGGTTCAATAGTTTTAATTATTTGGTTCTCTCTTCATTTCTTAATTGTTTAGGGAGTGCCCAAAATGATGTCATTTGGTTTGGGGTGAGCTTCCAACATTACACATAATATGATCCAATAAAATTTTCATAATAATTTCATCATATTTGATTTTATCACAGGAAAATTTTTTTGTTACATGTAAATTTATAAAGGGTAATATTATATACAGAAAGGTTCTTTTTATGAAATATATAGTTCCTATGCGACAAATAAGAATTAATTCTTAGAGTTGGTAAGCACTCCGTAATTCCTGCCACCACAGCCCACAAATTTAATTATCACATCATCAATAAAATGTCGCATTGGTTTTACAAAATTTTTGAGCTACAATTTAGTTTCTTTTTTTGTAGAATTAATTGCCACTTTTGTAGGCTCCGTATATTCCACATCATATGCGGACAATTTCCAGGTAGGTCTGACCTTTATCCCTGTATTCGGAGGGATACAGCTTTAGCCTGGCAAGGGATAAATATAAATACACAGATATATCTCTCTGATCACCTGGTCCATAGATCTTGAGTGAATTATCCAACCAATACTCGAAGATCAATAAGATTGACAAGGGGGATATCCCTCATATGGGGCATACTGCAACAAAACCAGACAAAGTGAACATTTTATTATGTGATATGAATGAGAGGCTGATTGTGATGTGGCTGTAAAATTGACCAGTGTGACTGATGACATTTTGAAAAGTAATAATGGTGCTTGTTCATAACTTATGGACTTGTTAATTTTAATGCTCACTTTATCATACCAAAATGTGATGAATATAAACCATAACATGATTAATATAGGATTACCTCTATATATAAAAATAATAATATGAAGTTAATTTACATCAGATCTACAATGGAACCCAAGAATTATAGTACTATCAGAAGTATTTTGAAGAAAGAGCAAGGTGAAAAAATTGCACCTTATATTTTCAAAATAAATGATACTCAAACACTTGAGGCTTATCTAAGAAAAGAAAGGATTACTTATGAAATTTACCATGAAGAAAGAAAATCATAACTAATAAAAGAACATTGTCACAAAACCATGATGAATCTAGAAAGAAAAGAAAATTAGAAGAAAAATAATTTACCACCTAATTCAGGTTAATTAATCCCTTAATTTTTTTTCTTTTTTCCTAACAGACAGGCAAAAACTCCTATCATCAATACTATTATTGTTCCTCCCAAAATGTAAGGTAAGTAATTGGTTGGGTTGGTTGATGGTAATTGTTCTTGCTTTTTCTCAGCAATTATTTGTTTAAGTTCAGAATGGGATAAAGAGGTTTTATTATTATTATTATTATTATGATATTCAACTACTAGTTTATTTTTACTATCAAGAGTAACATTTTTTATATCATGTTGAATAAAAAACTGTTCTAATTGTTCTAAATCAGAAAGAGAAAAGGCCTTTTGCTCTTCTTCATTAAATTCATAAACATTTTTATCTTTATTATTATCCTTTGGTGTTGTTGATTCCTGAGGAGTAGGAAGAGGAGTTTCTTCTTCACTTGGAGAATCACTATCTTTTTCTAAGGGAGGAACTTCTTCTTTCTCTTTTTTTTGGTTAGATTTCCCTTCCTCATCTATATTAAACTTCTTTCTTATTTCATCCACAAACTCCTTTTCTTTTTGTTTTCTTATTTCTTCATTTTTTTGTTTTGCTAGTTCAACTAACTTTTCTTTTAACTCTTCAGATACTCCTTTTAACTTTTTCTTTCCTAATTTGAGAATATCTTCAAGAGAGTAATTATTGAGATTAGCCAAGATTTCTTTTATTGGTTTATCTCAAACTCTGGAACTTCTTTTTTATCTATTTCCAACACTTGAAGATTTTTCAGTGATTGTCAATCAGGACATGCTCAACATAAAAATAGTTTTTCTAATTTATCCATCACTTCAAGTTTTAAGACTTGTCTATCAGAGGAGGAATAAAATAAGTAATGATGATTGGAAGAATCAAGAAATTCTAAATTTTTTGAATTACTATGGTTGGCTCGGTCTAAAGATCTCCTATAGCTGCGCCACGCGCTCAAATTTCAAAAATTGCAATTTTGTGATTCGTTCAAAAATGCAATAAAATTTTTTAAAAAAGGGTTACACGTGATTTTGGTTAAAAAACTATTTTCCTTACTGCCAAATTTAGATATGATGGTCGAGTATTAGGCTAAATTTAGGAATGATGAACAAAAACTAGTCTAAATTTAGCAGTGATCATAGCGCTCAAATTTCTCATGAGCATAGTAAAGTACATGTTTTAAAAAAGAATAGAACTCTACAATAAATAATTTTTTGGAGAAAATCTCTTCATTACATTAAAAGTAGAAACCTATTTTACCAACTAATGAGGCTATTTTTTTAAAAGGTAGGACAGAAAATGACTTCTATACTTTTAAAACTTGCCCAAAATTTAGGAGGTCTTTAGACCAAGCCAACTATAGCATTAATTTTATTAATTAAATTTTCTTTACAAGAAACAAACTCTAAGTTTTTTAAGTTGCTAATATCTAATTCTTTTAAACAGTTGCTAATATCTAATTCTTTTAAACTGTTCTCAGCACAATCTAGTGTTACCAAATTTTCACAACCCTTAACATTTAGTTACAAAGTGATGTTTCTTGTTGATGACAAACAAACAATTCTTTCAAACTTTTTGAGTTGTGGCAGTCTAATTTTTCTAACTTGTTTTTATAACAATATAAATACTTTAAATTTTTTAACTCTTTAACTTCTAACTCTTCAATATCATTACAATAACAATATACACTTTCTATTTCTAAGCTATTACTTAAATCTAAAGCATCTAGATTATTCAAACCACAATTTAACTTTTTAAGCTAGTTAAGTCACTTAAATCAACTTCTTCTAGTTCATTAGATGTTATCATTAAAGTATGTAAATTACTTAGACCAATGAAATCTGTTTCTTGTATTTCATTATGGTTAGCATGCACTTCTTGCAATTCTTTATTGCTACTTACATTTAACCTTCATAATTGATTATTCGAACAATCCAAACAATCCAATTTCTCACACTCATCCAAATCCAAATCAGTTAGTTCATTATCACTACAATCCAAACTCTTTAAATTAGTGAATCCTTCTAAGTTTAATTCTCCTTGTAATCCTAAATTACTCAAGTCTAGTTTCTCCACTTCACTTCTTTTGTCAAGAGGATACTTAGTATCTAACCAAGTTTGAGCATCACCATCTACCCTACTTCTTTTTATGGTATCTTCTAATCCCAAAGCATCTAATCTTGTTTTTTCCTCGGCAGTTAAAGGATTATCGCTATAAGAGATAGTTCTTAGGTTCTTTGCTTTTAACTCTTCAACTGGAAAGTCTCATTTAGTTAATTGATTATTATGGGTATAGATTTCTTGAACAGAAGGACAGTTCTCTATCTTTAAATTAGTAAGTTTATTATGTGTTACTTGAACTAATTTTAAGTCAGGGCAATTGCAAATAATAATATCTTCTAATTCATTATTACCTAAGTTTAATTGAGTTAAATCAGGAAAGTTCTCTATTACTACTTTACCAGTATAGCCTTGTTGAATAAAACAAAGAGTTTTAATTTTTTCTTTAACACTGGCTAAATTGTTAAAATCCTTTTCTTCTTGTTTTGCTTTTAGCCTTAATCAATTTGTTAATCAGGCTTGATTTTCATATTCTTGGTTTGTCATGAGAAATAGTTAATAGTTACACATTTATTATAATCAATTACATATATAAATATATTTTAATGCATTCATCTTGGTCTTGGAGAAGTAATATCTTTGAATTCATCTCTAACAAATGGGCAAATATTCTGGTAAAGATATTCTTGTCTTTTGTATTGCGAGCATGCAATCTGAGTTTCCTAATTAATAGGTTATTTATAGCTCAACACACAGCCTACTTGCTGACTTACAGTCAAGTTTCCTTTAATTATATATATATGACACACAGCCTACTTGCTGACTTACAGTCAAAGATTAATAATAAAAATAACTTTTATCTTCCTGGATAAAAGGGTCCCTAGGTTCCATGTAAATGATTATATCCCAAAGGCGTAAAGACTAGTGCTGTAAATTATGATGATGGTAGTAATTGTATTTACGGCATATAAAAAGTGGTTGCAATTACCTTTGCGACCACTTTTGCAACCATACTTTTTCCTTTTTTGGATTACGGCACTAGTCTTTACATCCGATAATAAAAATGATACCGCACTTTTAGAAGCATACCATCCTGAAGAGATTTATTTTCAATATATTATCCAGATAGGAGAAAAAGGCTTTACATTAGTTGAACATCCTTCTGAAGTTTATAAAATACTTGATTCCCATGAGTGTATTGACGGAAATCAACCTCTTTGCCCAATACTTGATATTGATGCCAGACAGAAACCTGATCCCACCAATTCTGAACTACCTTCCTTAGATAGTGAAAAAATTTCTTGTGAAGATTTAATGTCTAAAATATTGATTGCTTATATAGATGCATTAAGTCTTATACCAGAATATATGCCTTTCTTGCAATCTTTTGCATTAGCAAGTTCATCAAATGCTAATAAATGCAGTTGGCACATTGTTTATTCTCATGCCTGATTTATTGACTATAGAGAACTTAAAGGCTTTACGAAAAAAGTTATGGAATTAGTAGGAGAGCCATATTCTAAATTCATTGATGTTGGCCTTCCCAAATCACGTTTTAATCTTTGATTACTTGGATCAGCAAAAGAGAATAGAGTTAAAAGACCAGCCATTTCATCAGTTAAGAATGGATTCAAAAATCTAGAAGACTATTTAGTTCAACCAAAATCTGATTATTCTGTGATCTGGCCATGGACTTTTTCAGAAGAAAAACCAACAGAAGATGAATTCAAACCTATTGATGATTAAGATGCTATGGTTAAAGGAGCTAATCTAGTTATTGCGAAATTTGGATGGCTCGAAATTGGAAGAACTGAGAAAGGGTTTGTCAACTTTCATGCACAATCAGTTAAAGAATGCCCTATATGTGATATTAAACATGAAAAGAATCGGTTATATGGATTTCTTTGAAAAAATGGACATTTTGTACTTAAGTGTTACTGTCAAAAACAATACAAGCCAGATCACAAAGGGCTTAGTTTCGATAAGGTATCAGATAAATTTGAATCAAAAGTAAAGCCTAAGTGGGGATTAATTGAAAGATTACCAAATGCTGTAAAAGATCCATGCCCACTTGTAGAATTATCTGGAAAAAATATCAATGCCAGGGAAATGGAAAATGCTCCAGAAGCTTATCCTGATTTCTTGAGTGAGGAACCCACTACATCTCTTATCCGATCACCTGTAATGACAGGAAAAACAAAAGCTTTAAGAAT